CTCGAATGTTTAATAAAGTAGCCCACCAGAGCTAGACGCTGGTGGACGAGGCAGAGACTGAGGGGAAAGCTTGCCCAGGCCCTTGTGACCCCAGAATGATGCATTGAAAATTAAAAGAAAAAAAGATAAACCAATAAAGAGAACCGACGTGATTGAGTTGATGAAACATTCTGAAAACTAAACTCGCATCTTTAAAATGGAACATGGTGCATTCAACACATTTTGTCGTAACATCAGACATGTTTACCCTCGTAGGTATCTGTATTTGTAAGGAGTCAACCGTTATTCACCGTAGTTCAGTGCTACAATGCCTGTGAATTGCGTGCTTTTTGGTAATGACTCTTTTGCAACTGGTATGTTTTTAGAGCTTCGTGTGTGTCTCCTTTCCCGAAAAACTGTTTGTGTGCTCTACCTGACCTGGGGCCAAGCCCATTAGCGAATATCCGCTCGCACGAAAATGGACAAGCGAACATGAATGGCAGGCGACAATGGCATTGGATGGTTTTTCACCAAACAAAGCAATCTATACAATGGCCCATAGGTCATCGCGCTTTGTCGATTTCCGGGAAATCGATAGTCGGCGTACGGACGACAGTGGTGGGGGTCACCTCCCATCGTGGAATTACCGCGGACGCCAGCCACTAGCCAGTAGTGCCAGGCGAACGCCCAAACTCCGGCCTCCAATGACGCAATAATCGAGTCGGCGCGGCGCTTCGTTCGTTCCGCCAACCGATTAATGACGTCAACGGAGGAAGATCGGCGGCCCGAGGTGCACTGGCGAAACGGCTCCGGGCGCAAAGTTGGGCGTTCACGGCGCAATGAGCACGCCCAACGGCCGAATAACTCGGCACAATGGACAGGCGCGCTGGCCGCGTGCCGGCCGGGCCTCGAGTGGCGCCCCGGGTCGGCCGCTATGCCGAGTTGGCGGTCTCTGACGGAGCCGACTACCGGAAAACGGCCTTCACCGGGGTCGTTTTGATCAAACAGCGCCTGGGGGGCAGTTGAGGTTCGACGAGACCGCGATGGTCTGCGGTTGAACCCGCACCCGAGGCTTGTCGGTCCGCCTTTGACAAGCTCAGATGGAAGAGGGAGAGAAGGGGGTAGAAAGAGAGCAAGAGGAAGAGAAAGAAGAGGGAGTGAAAGGAGAGAAAGTGAGAGAAAGAGGGGGCGAGATAGATATTGAGGGAGAGAGGGAGCAAGTGGAGACAAAGATCGAGAGTTGTAGCACACAAAAATGGGACAGTAATTGAATGTTGCTGCTCCAGCTAAATTGCAAGTGATCATTCCACACTTGACAAGTTTATTTGACATGCTCTCTCAACATCAATCGTCGATCGAAGTTTCATTGATTTAAAATGACATTCAATCTGACAGTGACACGTTATCGGAAACGCTGCCACAAAGCTGTCGCTGGGACGGTGTGACTTCCAGCCTTGGCATTGACAAAACGTCTCACTCGGACCGATATTTCACTTAGCTGCCGGAGCCGAGGCCACTGTAGCCCGCGGCACGCGATTTCACCGCACATTTAGCTCTATTTCCTGGGAGACAGTTGAAATAGTGCCGTTTGAAGTAACCAATTCTGGCCCGCCCGCTGACACGAGGCGATGTAAAATACTTTATTTTAACAGTGTAGATGAGTCTCTGTCTCGTAGTCTGCACAGTGTTATGCAGTGCATACATTTAGTAAAAAACATCTAATCAGGTTAGGTATTATGTGCATTTCTTACTCTGAGTCAGCCATGTCATTAATCCATACGTAGTCTGAAGGTCATTACACGGTCGAGGTCATTTCTTTCAAAACGTACGTCAAGGCATTGGAGGAATAAATAAATAAATTCGAAAGCTAGCTAAAATTTCAAACAGTTGATTAATATTGTTTTTAGTACTAAATGGACCCGCTGAGTAGATGGATCGGATGTGCGGATGTCTGTTTTAAATACATACACTCATTCAATCATAAATTCCCCGTTACCGAGCACTCTGCCAACCAGTCACACCAACCGCAGTGAACTACATCTATTTACTACGAGGAGGCTTTGTCTCACTGTTCTCTGCACAGGTATGGTGGCTCAAGGTAATAAAATACGCGGGCCAAACAGTCTGCGTCTTCAAAGGGATCGTCTGCAAAGAGGGTTCAGACCAGCATGCGTTGAGGTGTAGAGAATTGGCATGGTGACCGCAACGTTCAAGTCAAGCAATTTATTATCTTCTTTTTTCTTTTGCACCGCTCTAAGTAAATGAGGTATGCCTAGAACACTTAACTTACAACTAAAAGTGTCATGAAACCTGTTGTAAATTATACCTCTTCAAACAACTAATAACTCGAGAAGGCATAAACAGCTGCCATTTTTCGAGCGCAATCTCAAAATAGCACTTACAACTGCCTGCAATTATAAGTTTCCGTTCTGTTAAACATGATCCCTTTGAGTGTTCGACTATTTTTGCGCTGTTAGTTCTCGGAACTTTCCCATTGTCGGTGTAGCTGTTCAAAGTGATCATAGCCAGTTTGTGACGTTCATTAACAGCTTACGAAAAACATAGCCTCGGCAGCCCGTTTATTATGGTGGGTGTGTTAGATTGTGTCAGGTAATTTACATCGCTACCAGCGCAGGTGTTAACTCTATGCAAAGCACATAGAACATGATAAATAGTCGTGTCGTTGAGCTATTAGCGCTGCAGTCAAACAGCCCGGTGCAGGGTGCGGTGTGTTTCCCGGAAACATCAGCCCATCGACTGCGGTCCGACAGAGACACTAAACCTATCGGCCGCAGACTTATTGCAAAACAGTCCGGTAGAACGACTGACGTGTTTACAACTCTGGAAACTCTCGAACGATTGGGAAGCTCTACTACTGGAATTGAAGCCAGAATGGCGCCATTTCACCTTTTTATATTTTACTACTCTATAAATTTTTTATTTGCACCGATAACAAAGACGATAAAAAACTGTTCCCTTTCAAAGTGAACTCTGAGGAGTACACCATTTCTGAACCATTCCAGGCCAAACCAGCAGTATCAGCGCTTCTCTTCTCATACAGGTGTGTATGTACTTATTATCCACAAATCCTGTTTTCTCGCGGTCATCAAATGAATTAAAATTTCAGGTGGAAAATTGAATAGTCAGAATGAAGCTAGGCTTCATTACGGGAACTCGGGCAATGGAGGGCACCAGAGACCTGATACAGGTCTACCTCTATGTGTATGTAGATACGGGCCGGCAGCACCGGAGAACAGCTTTGATCGCGCTCCTCGCGCGTCCTTGGAGCACTCCAAACATACACTGCCCAGTTGTCGCTGAGAAACTATCGAACGAATCCACAACGCTTCCGTTGACAGACAAGTGCACTCAGAGCTGGCTCAGGGGCGAAGGAACAGCTGTGTGATGGAAGTGGAGGGGACCGACGGCTGCAATCACAGGAACATGGGCCGCAGGCTTTGCTGTAATCAACCCCACCCACCTAACATTGCAGAGTCCTTGCCAAGAATAGCACTAAGCGAGGTTCGCTAGTGCTACGAGTCACAAATTGCCTTGGCCGCAACAAAGTCAGTCCGTGCAGGTGCAAAGTGAAAAGCTGGCAGTGAACGGTGTGTATTTTAAAAGGATCATTGAATTAAATAGCATCACCGTATTGCATCATGGAATTACCTTATGTTATATTTACATCTGGAAGCAGATCATAATATTATCAAAAGATCAATGAGGTAGTATGTAAGTGCACTGATGGTGTGCTATTCAGCGGATGTTAAATTATTCAATTCCTAAACATGTTTTATCATACATACCATACAACTGTTCATGCTAAAGAGAACATTGATTCGTTCGGTCTTTTAGATGACCTGTAATTTCACACATACGAAAGCAATCATATCATATTAATATTTGTTATTCGCAATTCGAAAATAATCTGAACTGACTTTGCTGCTGAAACATTAACAGCAGTGGAGTAGTACGAAGCTGCGGCCTACGGCCTTGGCTACGGCTGCTAAGGGAATCTTTATCGCATGCCACCTAATTCGGTACTCATCCAACTTTCGTCCGCGCACAAATATGGGACCATAAAACTTTAAACCAACGAGTCGACAGCTGTAGTGACGCCACCGCTTTAAATAACCAGCCAATTAACTTATGCATGCTACTCAATAAATCTTAAATTAGTGACCTTAACCCACGAGCCGCTGGGGGGGGGGGGGGGCATAAAGTTGCCCCCCCTTTACGTTTTGTGGAATATCTCCGAAATCTGATGAGCTACGAACGTGAAACTTGGCATAGCTTCAAATGAATACCTAGGCAATGTTTGAAGAAAGTTTGGTGGTTGTAGCATCTAAGATGACGTCACAGTGACGTCATAAAGTTTTGTCGTTTTCCGATATGGACCGTTTCTGATCACGCTGAGCATGAAACTCAACTGTAAATGAACTAGACAGCACCTGCTGTCATCCTAAAACATCTAAGTACACTTCCATCTAGTTGCTAACCAATAATCGGCCCTTTATTTTCGGTCCCATATACCTGATGTATCGTGAGGAAACTGAGAGTCGCAAATCTATAAGTTAACTTATGACGTCACTGTGACGTCATTTCAAATGGGATCGACACCAAATTTGGACACAACCTCGGCTAGGTATTCAGGAAGATGTGTGCAAAGTTTCGCTTCTCTATCTCTTCGCGTTGCGACGATATCGCCGCGGAAGTAAAGGGGGGGCAACTATATGCCCCCCCCCCAGCGGCCGGCGGGTGGCGCGGAGGCCCAGCGGCCGCCGGGTTAATAGCGGAGTACAATCAGGTATGTGCATAAAATTATGATTAGTTATAAAGTGTTGTTCATGTGGGCGTCTACGAAGTAAAAATGCCTACTCAAGGTACTCAATATACTAAAGTAAGCAAAAAGGAAGCGAATTACAAAGAGTACCACACCGTGTGGTATTATTAATTGAAATAAATTGAGATAATAAGTTTATATTAGGGAAAGATCATGATCTTTTCAGGTGATCGCTTACCTCCACTGATGTCGATTTGTCCAAGGACGGCGGATAAGTGGAGACAGGAGGTAAGCGCTGCTGTCAGCCTGGTGATCATCGCAGGAAGATTACGCACTCCCTCGGCAGCGAGACGATCTCACTACACATCGGGGGCGGTTGCGCACTGAAACAGAAGGCCAGATACGTTCAGAGACTGGTGCAGGTGATGGGGCGACGGGCAGCCTCGCACTGTGCGGCGACGGTAGCGGGGTCCCAAGGGAGGGGGCATAACCCCCATCACTGTTAAATTTTATTTCATCACACAGCGCATCGTAGGTGACAATGATTGCAAAAAAAAAAAAAACATACGGCAGCACGGTCGGAGGTCGGGTGACTATATATCAAGAGCGGGTTTTGCGCACAAGCTCGCATTTGATGCTGTTTCAGCAACCTGTCGTCTTTTGCCACCCACTCAAGTCCGCTCCATTTCCGTCACGCGCCTGGCGAGCTGGAGATCACTGCTCGCCGGCGCGACCTTCACGTCACCCGCATCCTGCAGGATGCGGGTGACGTGAAGGTCGCGAGACACACACCATGGTGTGTGTCTCTGTGTCTCTGGGGCAGGACGAGCGGCCTCTCTGGCGACTCCTCAGCCACCGGGCCTCCGGCCTGGATCATCAATAATGTCCGCCCGCCACCTGATCCCCGCCAACAGAGCGGGCCACACCAGCGGAGGCAGAGGGGGGCAGAGAGAGAAAGGGGGAGGGAGAGGGAGAGAGAGAGAGAGAGAGAGAGAGAGAGAGAGAGAGAGAGAGAGAGAGAGAGAGAGAGAGAGAGAGAGAGAGAGAGACAGAGACAGAGACAGAGACAGAGAGACAGAGAGACAGAGACAGAGACAGAGACAGAGAGAGTGAGAGTGAGAGAGAGAAGAGAGAGAGAGAGAGAGAGAGAGAGAGAGAGAGAGAGAGAGAGAGAGAGAGAGAGAGAGAGAGAGAGAGAGAGAGAGAGAGAGAGAGAGATAGAGAGAGAGAGAGAGACAGAGGGGGAAAGAGAGAGAGTGGGAGAGGGAGAGAGAGACCATCCTCCAGCGTGGCACGGACAGTCAGAGATAACGCCGCCAGCAGGCGCGGCGCCATCAGACAATTCACGCCTGGTACGACTGTCTTCCTGTCTGCACCGCTCCGTCTAACTCCTTGCATAATCTCTCTCTCTCTCTCTCTCTCTCTCTCTCTCTCTCTCTCTCTCTCTCTCTCTCTCTCTCTCTCTCTCTCTCTCTCTCTCTCTCTCTCTCTCTCTCTTTCCCTCTCTCTCACTCTATTCATCTTTCTCACTCTCTATCTATCTATCTCTCACTCTCTCCCCTCTCTACCTCTCTCTCTTCTCTTCTTTTCCTCCTTCCTCTCTTCTCTATCTCCCTCTCCCCCTGTTCCGACGTCGGTGATATTAGCGGCGTCGGCAGTGATTCGATGAGCGCAGTGAAAACAATGGTCGTCGCCTCCCTGACTGATGGGAGCTGAGGTGACTACTGACTACTGACTACCGACTACTGACTACCGGCGCGTGGACCGGTCGATGGGCCTCCACAGAGTCATCAGAGTCACCCGCGGGCTGGAGGGGGGAGGGGGGGGGGGGCGTGGCGCTGACTCGGGACGGGCTGGTGGAGTCTGAGTGGATATGTGGACGATTGTGTCATCGACGGACGGTGATGGTGACCGAGAGATGGCGTTGAGTAAGCCGGTTTGATGAAATCTTGTTGGTATTTTTAAACAACGGTATCTGAAACGGGTTACATACAAGTTTGAGAGGGTAAACTTAAGTTAGTTGATTTTGATGATTGTTTACGGACGAAGAGGAATTTCAGGAATATGGGGATCGCCGCAACATAGCAATGCGAGAAAGAGAACAACTCTTCAAGGACCACAGGCCGGTCATCCCGAAATAGGGAAGCTGAGCCAATCGTAGGTATGGCGCCGTGCAAATGCTACGTGAGGTTCTTTGATACCAAGTATCTACCATAGCTCAGGCGCCGTGCTTCTGAGAAATTGGAACGTTAGAGCGCCTCTTCCCTGCAGAATGTGTCGCCAAGGAAAAGGCACGCCGAGCCTCTTGACTCGGCGGTCGAATCAATGCTTTCAGAGCAGAAGTAGGTGGGAACATCGGTAAAAATGACGCAATCGGAGCACAGTCGGCGGGCGACGCTTCCAGAGACGACTGAGCCGGAAAGTGCTGGGCTTGGCGTCTGTGGCTGTGAAAAATGTCCGCAAAGATTCACGAGCGAAAGACGTCCGTAAGCCGTGCGAGCGTTTCCTGGGCGGTTTCTGGCCGTCATTAGGATAGTCGGGAAACCACCTCGGGTCTGGTCACGAAATGTCACGAACCCCTCGCCAAACTGCCACAGACTCGTCACGAAGCGCTCATGAGCTCGTCACGAATAGTCACGGTAGCCAGTTTCTGAGGTTGAACTGCCAGTTGTGTGCTGAGGAAACTGCTGGGAAGGTCATTTCCAATGGGGAGGGCGTCTCAGTGTCGACAGAAATAGCCAATGGGCTTATGGGAATCGGCCCAGGTGGTGACCGGGCACGCAAAGCAAAGCGTTTCGCCCAAATGTGCTGGGGTAGGCTGCGGGAACATTTGCATTCTTTGGTTAAAATGTAATATGCACTCGGGAGAGAAGACTCGCCTTCAGAGGATTTCGAACAGTTCAGCTCATATTCAGCGAGATATTTTGAATGAGTGAATTACTTATTTCTTATAATATCTGAAATCGTTTTCGGCCTAAATCCTTTGACCAAATGCGTACGTCTCGACCGTCTTTGCATAACTATTTGTTGCTCAAACAAAGCAAAGAAGACTTCAATGATGTAGGTAACAATGGCGTAAGTATGTACTTGGCAAATCTGCTGATTTCAACACTTACTGCTAAAGCAAATACAAAATACAAATCAAAGTACTTACAGTAAAACCACGTAAAACAATCAATATGTTACAGGGAGTATGAGAAATCAGTTAGTTTGCAAACTACCTAGGGAGTTTGCAAACTCCCTGAACGATCAGGTAGTTTGCAAACTCCCTAGGTAGTTTGCAAAGTACCTGGTCGAACGGGTAGTTTGCAAACTCCCTAGGTAGTTTGCAAAGTCCCTAGTTAGTTTGCAAACTCCCTAGGGTTGTTGCAAACTACATAAGTAAAATGCGAAAACGACGAAACAACAGCCATATACGAGTACATATGTAGATAAGACGCGATGAATTGGTTTAGAGCTCCAAATGAAGCTTGACGGCAATGGTGCATAATGAGACGATGTGGTGTTTTGATGACGCTCTTTCGCAGCTAACTATTTATTTTTGTCTTGCTCGCAAATATCACCTTACAGATTAATGTCTGCCCTTTTTCTTGTAGTCGACATGTTACGTTGCCATCCACCTCCTTTCCTTGGACGTCAGCGGCCTCTCCTCCACCGGTCTGGCGTCCATAAGAAAGCGGATGACGTCGCCATGTTCGGCGTCTTCCACGACTCGAGAGTTATTGCCGCTCAGCGCTTCCTCCCACTCCCGGAACCTCTGATCGAACAGTTCGTGAGACATCCCCACAGAACCACAGAGCAACCACAAAACAGAAACTGCGATCACTATGCTGCCTCTCCACACTCCGCTCAGCACTGATGACCCGCCTGCACTGAGCACCGTCCACCAGCCGTGGCCAGACAGCACCTTTCATCCGTATCCCGCAGGCACACACTGACCTGACCTGTCAAGCTCGGGCCAGTCGACTGCTGGCTACCAGGATCGGGTGGAAGCGGGGCGTTGGGTTGACTAAAGATGACATCCTGATTTCTAACCCGCGCCCCGTAGGGGGGGGGCCGAAACGGCCCCCCTGTCCTTTTACGTCAATATCTCCTAAACGGCTGCAGCTATCGCCATCAAACTTTCAGAACTTCTCCGGGCATCAATTTTACACATTGTATTTGTGACCAAAATTTTCCAGAGGCTTTGATAGGTTGGCCATAAATGACGTCAGAATGACGTAATGTTCTGCCATTTTCGACCGAAAAAAGTGCTTCGCGAGAAGAGCTGTCAGACCTACAGCTTTCAAGATATAAAAAAATGATCAAGACTTAAAAGGTGTGAAATCAACAGGGCTACAAATCTGCAATCTCGGATTTTTAAAATTTTCGATTTTTGACCCCTAAAAATGAAAAATGAAATTGGATATATTACCCAAAAAATCAAAAAAGTTTTTTTAAGTTTCGAACAAACGGAAAATATATGATAGTACCTACCAGTCAACCCAACGCCCCGCTTCCACCCGATCTTGGTATATAGTCAGCAGTCGACTGCCTCGAGCTTCACAGGTCAGATCAGTGTGTGCCTGCGGGATACGGATGAAAGGCGCTGTCGAGCCACGGCTGGTGGACGGTGCCCAGTGCAGGCGGGTCATCAGTGCTGAGCGGAGTGTGGAGAGGCAGCATAGTGATCGCAATTTCTGTTTTGTGGTTGCTCTGTGGTTCTGTGGGGATGTCTCACGAACTGTTCGATCAGAGGTTCCGGGAGTGGGAGGAAGCGCTGAGCGGCAATAACTCTCGAGGCATAACTCGAGTCGTGGAAGACGCCGAGCATGGCGACGTCATCCGCTTTCTGATGGACGCCAGACCGGTGGAGGAGAGGCCGCTGACGTCCAAGGAAAGGAGGTGGATGGCAACGTAACATGTTGTCGACTACAAGAAAAAGGGCAGACATTAATCTGTAAGGTGATATTTGCGAGCAAGACAAAAATAAATAGTTAGCTGCGAAAGAGCGTCATCAAAACACCACATCGTCTCGTTATGCACCATTGCTGCCAAGCTTCATTCTGAGCTATGAACCAATTCATCGCGTCTTATCTACATATGTACTCGTATATGGCTGTTGTTTCGTCGTTTTTGCATTTTACCTATAGGTAGTTTGCAACAACCCTAGGGAGTTTGCAAACTAACTAGGGACTTTGCAAACTACCTAGGGAGTTTGCAAACTACCTGTTCGACCAGGTACTTTGCAAGCTACCTGGGGAGTTTGCAAACTACCTGATCGTTCAGGGAGTTTGCAAACTCCCTAGGTAGTTTGCAAACTAACTGATTTCTCATACTACCTGTAACAGATACAATGCTTATAGCTTACTCAAGTGGTGCTTTAGCAAGCATTGCATGTCGT